TTTTTTTTTTTTTTTTTTTTTTTTTTTTTTTTTTTTGTCAAAGAGTTGGAGAGAAATAATGATCACTCTCCTCTCACTTCTTCCTTTGCTTTCTTACCCCTTTTTCTCTTCAGTGTTCCATAGAGAAAAAGAAGAAGAAGAAGAAGAAGTTAGAGAGGCAGGCTTTATGAGATTATCTTACTACTTCCTCCTCCATTGGTCACCCAGGGAGGTACCTATACCAATTTTTTTTTTTTTTTTTTTTTTCCCAAAGCACACTAGTGCTCTTGTGTTATAGTGGTTACATGATACAATTGTTCATTTCATTTTTTTTTTTTTTTTTTTATTGGGTGTGGGTAGGTTTAAGTCCTTGCTAGCTAGCTATACTTTTTTTTTCCTTTTCTTTTCACTTCTTTTTTTTTTTTTTTTCCTGGCCCAGCTGGGGGATTAAAAAAAAAAAAAAAAGAAAAAGAAGAACTCTAGAAGTTTAGCTGAATCTTCAGCAAAATTATTTAAAAACTTGCACAAAAGGTCTGGCTTTCAATTTTTTTTTTTTTTTTTTTGCTGATAGAGGGGTCCAAGAGCTTTGAAGAAGATCCGGTTTGAAATTTTGAAAATGTTTCGCCTAAGCCAATCATAGTGTACATAAAATTTTATATGTACAATAGTTGTGATATTGATAATTGTAAAATATCCGACCTGAGAAAACAAAAATTGGTGCAAAAAGGAAGAATTGCCCTCGGCCAGGATCGAACTGGCGATCTCCGGATGGCCCGCATTGACGCGGTCATAGCGACTTCGAGATTGAAGTGGAGTTCATATGAGACCGGCGCTCTAACCAGCTGAGCCACGAAGGCGATACACGGCAAGCTGATTTGGACAATGTATCTAACAAGAAACTACTCAGTGGATCAAGTCAGTCGCAATTATATTAGGTTGCAGGTGGTGAAAGCTGTTGTGTGATCAGCTCAGTTTAAGTAAGCCCATCTAGGAACCAAACGTGTTTCCGCTTATTCCGGGCTTTCAAGGATTCGGGCCACCTGCAATCTGACGTCAATACAATCCAGAGTCATCACACCCTTCAGCTAACACTCAATTTCATCACTCTTTAACCACAGTATTAGGCCTGGAAAAAGGGGTAAAGGTTGATATGGCATGGAAATCTGTAGGACTCAGAATACATCACTTTCATTCTTTGGGGGACGCAGATTGGTAAGTGGAAAGTGGGAGAAAAAAAAAAGGGGGGGGGGGGGGAAGACAAGGGTGAAAATACATGTGAGAGCGTGTGCTCACGCCAAAACCCGGCGATTAGCCCTAAAGCCCTCCTTCGAGAGGGTGAACGTGTTTGCTTCCTAGAGGGGCTTAGAGCATCCGCAGTGGTGAGCCATCAAATCCCGACCCCTATTGCTAACTTTCGAGTTTTATAGGTTCACCAAACGCTCAGGGTGGGACGGTTTGTGAACCCCATCCCTGGATAGGTATGGGTGATGACTGATGGGCACAGTAACTTTGAGGTGTGTACGTGTGTTGTGGGTTTGGAGTAGGGCAAGTGGACAAGATTTGCTGCTTGGCTCTATCTCACCAATTTCGGAGGTGAGCCCTAAATTATTTAGCGATAGGGTTTGCCACTGCACGAGATTTTTGGCCAAATTTGGTGGCTGACCTCTAAATTTAGAGATAGCGGTGCACCACTGCGGATGCTCTTAGTTAACCTGACTTAACATATTGACGCGCTCATATCCCAGTCATACGATAGCAGAGCCGACCGTGAGCCTACTCTCGTACTTGATTTCCTGGAAGTAACTATCGATTTGTTCACTTCTTTGGACCTTTTCAAAGTCTATTTAATTTTTTTTTTTTCGAAAAGTTAATAGTATATTTCTTCTAGTCCAAGTAGAAACCGAATAATCGTTCATTTTATTTTAGTGAATTGAGATAAAACGTCTTTTGAAAAAGAATTCTTTCTGTAACAGATCGTGAATTTTTTCGTGCGATCGTCGTCTACATGGAGCATTCTTTTGCGCAGATGTTATCGATGGTGGTGAAATTAATTTTGTAGTTGGGCATAATGGGTAGTTGCATCCATGCTGCTGCGGCGTAGTCGGTGGCGGGGGTGGGAGTCCCCCAAGGTGCCCCCTCAGCTTCATGCAGTGGTATATATAAGAAGCCCTTTCAGCTCCATTAAAGAACCTACGTCTTTGAGACACACATCCCCAGGCCCGTCGAGTGCGTGAGGGGTCAAAGGCGGTGCCTTTGCTTCACGCACCTGACGGAGACGTGTGTCTCAGGGACCCGGTGTGAAAGTAGCGCAGCTCTGAAGAGAGCATGGCTATGAACACACACCCGACCGCCGCAAGGTGAGACTGCGTTAAATCTCCACTTATGCACGAATCATGTTCCCTTCTTTTTTTACTTAAATACGAGTCTTGGCCGACCGAAATGCAAAGATTGTTTTTTTTTTCCTAGTTCAATCTGTTGTTTCGTAATCATAGATCTTGAGAAATCCACAGAGACTTGTATCCCCAGATCTCATTGGTACAAAAATCTCAGGTTCTTACTTACAGTTGAAGTTTTGAAATTGACCTGAGACGGGGAAAAAAATAAAAAATAAAAAAAACTTGAGATTTAGATTTGTATCCCATAATTGTGTCATCAACTTTTCTAGTGAGGAGATCATCATTCTTCTCTTTTGTCACTGATTCGACCGAGAATGCCTGTTACCTCACCTTTTACTTATCAAAAAACCCTTCAGACCTCATCTCCTGTGTTCAAAACGCCTGATCTTGCTAGTCGTGATTTGACACCTACCAAGCTGATTGATTTTCACCTTCTCAACAATTCTAAGTACCCATTTGGAGTTTTGGCGGGTTCTACCAAGTCAAACTTGGAAAATGATGTGATTACTTGGAATGAAGTCGGAAGTGCACTTGTCAAAGTTACTCAAGACCTAAATCATCTTTTGATCGACACCTCAACTTCCCCTGTGATTGGTATCATTGCGTCCTGTGACCCACTGGTTTATTTTACGACGCTTTTGGGAATCATGAGAGCAGGTTGTGTTGTGAGTGAAAAGATCCACTTTTAGGTCCATATTGATGGACTGGCTGTATGTCTCTATTGATTAAAATTCCTCAATTCTTTTTTTTTTTTTTAGCCATTCGCAATTTCGCCCAGAAACTCAGCTGCAGCAATTGTTCGTCTCATAAAATCTACCGGATGCCAAGCTCTTTATGTTCAATTTGACCCTACTTTACCGAGCCAAGATTTTGAAAAGATTTCATTTGTGGAGAAAAGCAGTAGAAAGCAAATAACTGAAGTCCTCGAATCAGGAGAACTCCAGCACATCCAGTTGCTCGAATTACCCTCGGCAGATATGCTTTTCCCGCGCCTCATTGATGGATCGGCGTACACTTTCAATTCAGATCTTCCTCAACAGCTGGCGTCAATGGTCACCCCAAATCAGCCAGATTATGCAGTGCCGGTCATGATCCTCCATTCGTCTGGCACCACCAATTTCCCAAAGCCTATTCACATCAACACATTCACCTTTCAAGGTTGGATGAATTCCAATCGCTATTTTCAATTCTCTTGGACAGGCGAAGTTATAGCGGCTATGGTTCTTCCAGCTTTCCATGGTACGAACATCTTCATGTTTTGAACTAGATGAGAACTCACTTTTATTCAGGGAGCTTACTCTTTTGTCCTATCTCAAAGTTATGGGCATCAATCTTGGTTTATTCACTATTCTTTCCGATGGGGCCATATCTGGATTTTTCCGTCCGGAAATTGGCCCTCACGGTCACAGTATGATAAAGAGTCCCAATTCAGTCAACGTTATAGAGGCAATGCGATCCTTGGGTTGCACGGTGGCAGCATTCAGTCCAATGATGCTTGCTGTAGGTCTTGAACCTTCCTTCACCGGAATCTGACCCACAATTGATTCCTGTTTTTTTTTTTTACCGCATATTCCAGGAATTTGCGTCTGACCCTTCAAGTGTAGAGTTCCTTAAAACCCTCAAGAGAGTGGGATTTGGTGGGGGACCGTTGACTGTCGAAATTGGAAATCAGCTAATCAAAGCTGGCGTGCAGCTCTCAGTTATGTTCGGCTCGTACGTGCCACTTCCGTTCCATAAAAGTAGGTATTGTCTAACGGCAATGCCTGATATATATATACCTCTGTTACAGGACCGAAGTGGGAACCATTGCCACACAATTTCCTAAACGCTGTCTGGGAGTCAATTGGGAATATTTTGAAATCTCAAGCCAGCTCACTACTCGCCTTGTGCCACACGGGGAGAATCTGTACGAGCTAGTCATCTTATCCTCAGATCGACACCGATGCTCGTTGGCGCACAGATTCGATGACTTTGCACCGCAGACATATCACACCAATGATTTACTTTCCAAGCATCCAACACTTCCTTTGTATCGTATTGTTGGTCGGAAGGACGATCAGATCATACTATCAAATTCTGAAAAAACAAACCCGTAAGCTCAGGAGCTCAAAAAACTTATCTCTTTCTCTTTCTCTCTCTGTCACCACCAAGAAAATTGCATCGCATAGAGGCATGCTATGTCACATAGCAGGCCAAGATGCGATGCAATAGGTCTATTTTCCAAGGTAGGGATCTTGAAAAATGGTCCATAGTATCACATGAAG